TTTAAAAAAAACAACAACAACCCACCATAAAGTCCCTTACCTTCTTCCAGATCAGCTTTGCCTCAGTATTTCTTGCATAGGACACCTGGGATTCCCTTTCTGTGTTTCAGGCTTTAGATGTTATCTTGACCGAACTGAACAAACTGGCAGAGGAAGACATGGAAGATCTACTCCGCTATGAAAGAGGAGTCAAGGCAGAGGTGTGAATGTCTTTCAATGCTAAAAAGCTAATGCAAGACTGTAAGCGGGTTGTGAGCTATTTGCGATCAAGATGCATTAGCAGAGTATGTGCATGACTGAGCCGGGTCCTGCACTAATAATTGCTAAGTATTAGTATAGATCAGGAGTCTCAGCCAGCAAGATCCTTTTAGGGGTGCTGCTCCTTGTTAGCACGGTTCGGTGAGCGGGCATGTAGACAACTCCCAGATCAGGCCAGATATTTCAAATAGAAAGCCCACAGCAGGTCAAAATGTTTTTGATACTACAGACTCTTGAGTTCTTTGCACCGGATGAATTTCTCTTTTATGTTTCCAGTCAAAAAATGAGTGAAAACTAAGAGCTGGCATCTTTTCGGGGAGGTGAGCGGAGGGCCTTGAGTCTAACAAGGGAGTGCCTTAAATCAGAAATAGATGCGAAGTTAACCAGCAGTGGGACATATTGCCCATTACACGGTAACGTCTGGAGTGAGACCCTTCAGGTCTCTTCGTGCCCAGGAGAGACTCCCTGAGCCCTTCAGTGGTTCTCGTCTGGGCTTCTGCCCTTCCTTGAGACACCCTCTGCTGTGTTACCTTACCTATAAATCCCGTTTTGGATTGCTGCTTTCCTCACCTTCTTCTCGGGCATCCTTTCCAACACATCCACATCCCCACCCCGCCCATATCCAAGGATCTCACCACCATCATCCTCCCTTTCCAGAGCCCTCCGCTAAGTCTTTTCCAGTACCCTTTGCTTCCAGCCCTGAAATAAGCCTGGTACGGTCTTTCCTGCAAGAGTCGAAGGCTGCACTTCACTTAGGCTCCGTTGTTACATCTCGTGGCATCTCTCTAGTGAAAAATATTGTCAAAGTGGGATGTCTCATTGGCGTTTCGTGTGCTATCGCAGACTTCGTGCCACAGCTGCTGTCACAAGTGACCCCCCCCCCCCCCCCCC